ACTGATTCAAGTCAAAGAGTAGAACTGTTCAAATCAATCACATTCTAGTTCTAGGTTCTTAGGTGAGCTAACTACAAAATTAATCAAACCAATCATGCAGCTATTCATCTAACCATGCAAATCGCACATAGCAACCTAAAGATTAGTTTGAAATGGAAACTGGAGTGATATTTTCCAACTGGGTTCTTAACATAATTTTATACAATTCCCTTTAACAAACTTGAATAAGCAAGAAAAAATTCGGTAGCGGAATTAGCGTTCACGTACTTTGTAGATTCACCTGAGGTTCTGAACAACCTACAGAATATAATGCTTTTGTAATGTACTTACATACTGATCATCAGTTTGACTATCTGAGGTAGCCGTGGTTCGACAGACTAGATCTCATACTGGATAGTGATTGAAGATGAAATGAAAATTTGGACTGCGGAGGGATTTGAACCAACAACCACCAAGTTCCCGGCCCGATGCTCTACCAAATGAGCCACAAGGTCCGACTGCTGACCACATTTTTATTTCACTTCAGTCATAAGGCGGGGTTTCGCCCGACTACTATGTGAATTCGTGACACGTTACTATCGCTCGATCGTATTCACACTGGCTACCTATCTAGTCAGGACTTCTCATCTCAATCTGAATCTGACTGAATTAGAGAGGTGGAGCATCATACTGATTGTCATTTTGACTATCTGAGATAGTCGTAGTTTGGCAGCCTTGTATTGATACTGGGTGATAATCAATATGATGCTCCCCCTCTCTTTCATTTAGGCTTGGAGTGTGATTTACCATCAAGCGGTAGTAACGCGTTACAAAGTCACATGGTAGTCGAGCAAAAGCCTTGGTGATTGGTTCAAGTGAAATAAAATCTAGTCAACAATCAGGCCGGAAACCCCAGTGGTCGTTGGTTCGAATCCGACCTTGGTTCAAATTTTTCATTTAACCTTCAACAACACTACCTAGTATCACCATTTACATATATTGAAAAGAATGTGTCGATTGACATGAAAGATAACAGATATATTGGCTGATCGAAAGTGTTGGAGTTTAATAAAGTTCTTAAGATAACTCAAAGGTTAACCATTTATATTATGATAGATTGAGAATTCTAGAGAGGACAGCAAAAATCGGAGGAGATTTTACATAGTGTTATTCCAGAATTGGCAAAATATGACATCATTAATGAAAGGTTAACAGCTTTTTATGATGAATAAGGTGAATATAACTCAGAAAGTGAGAGTAAGTTTTGAAGTAGATTGAAAGAGAAAATAGCAATTCATAGGGTCATAAGGTCATACAGATTTGTATTTACAAATTTACTCGATTAAAATTACTGATGTGAAGCAAAGACATTAAAATTCTTTATGGATATTATCAATTTTGGATATTTGAAAGGTTAACATATAGTACCATTTTAGTCTGTTTATTAGAAATATCATACAGTGAAACAGTCTGGATAGCTTAGGACTCTACTTGAGAGATTGACAACCCACTTTGACTTATCGATCATCGGTGATATGCTATTGTTAATTTCATTACTGTTGACTGCATGCTTTTCTTCTATAAGTTTATTGAACTTCATAATCTAAGTATTTTGGATTTCTTGAATTCGGCTGATCTTGCTTCATTGAAATTGTCCATCAGAAGCTCCATAATCTTTTTTACTAACTGTTTGTATCAGCTTACACTTAAGATCTTCAATATAATTCCTGATGTTGTGCAACTTTTTGACTATTCTATGAATTTCTTCTTTAAGACAGAGTTTACTGACACGTTCTATAGCTGCTTTGACTTTGTCTGTTGGAATCGGTGCACGTAGACGTAGATGTTTAGGCATGATTTGATTCCTGAGACATCGAATATTGAATATACGACGGTTTGTGTATCTGCCTTCTGTCTGTGAAAGTCGTGTGAGTTTGTTGATTAGTCTTCGAACAGGAAGACCATATGTTTCATTAATATAAGTGTAAAATTTGGGCACCGTGGTCGAGTGTAATTCCATTTTAGTCTGTTTATTAGAAATATCACACAGTGAAACAGTAGCATTTACTGGGTCCAATAAATGCTACTGTTTCACTGTGTGATATTTCTAATAAACAGACTAAAATGGAATAACACTCGACCACAGTGCCCAAGTTTTACACTTCTATTAACAGATAATACTGTTGTCAATCTTACTTCATCTGAGGGAAATACACGCATTCTAATTCTGCAGCTATTCTTTTCGTTTTATTTAATATAATTTTTACATTCATCTCATATCTTCCACGTACCGTGAGTATGCTAAGAAAATAACCAGTCAGAGTTTCCCAGTGGGTCATATGTGAGAATGTCATCTCACCTATCTAGATTCAGACAGTGAAGTAGCGTCATCAGATTTCACACTATAGATGATGACGCTTACAACTTGATGCATGATCATGTATACGGTTACAGAGTGGCATTCCATTAGAAACCTCGTCAAAGTCATGGCTTTTTGGTAAGAAGTTACTTAATTGTAAGGAAACTGTGTGGTATTGAACGTATCCTGACCAACAACGAACTGGATACCATTTTAGTCTGTTTATTAGTAATGTCACACAGTGAAGGAACAGTATCATTTACTGGATAACGTTTCAGACAGAATTTATTGTCCATATTGAAATCAGGTAATTCCACAAATTTGAGACAGACTTTATACATTCTCAATTTCCTCTCCTTCTTTGTGATGACATGGGCAGTAGAGAGAAAATTCAAAGCCTCTGCTGTGCTACTACCAAACAAGCTTTTTAGATTAAACGATCCTATTGATGTAATTGAAGAAAACACTTTAGCTTACCATATTTCTCGCAATGGTCGTGAAGTCAAATACATAGATCAAAGTAATCGACCAGGGGCGATTAGAATAACAGAACACAAAAACAGCTAAACCAAGTTTAGTAGATTCTAATAAGATAAGAAATTTAGAGAAAAGCTCGGCTATAGCACTGCAGGCAATTACACAACAAGGTGGGATAGAGCGATATGGAGAGATTGGTTACCGAATCTGCGTTTATCGAATCAACACCAAATACATGCAGTCGAAATGATTCTGCACCTGTCCAGATATATGGAAAATTCTACTACCCTTGTCACTACAAAGAAGGAGAGGAAATTGTGAATGTATAAACTCTGTCTCAAATTTGTGGAGTTAACTGATATGAAAATGGGCAATAAATTGTGTCCGAAATGTTATCCAGTAAATGATACTGTTTTATTGTGTTACATCTATAATGAATAGGCTGAAATGGGATTACAATCAACCACAGTGCCCAAGTTATACTGCCATACTAATGGACTGCATAACTTGGCAAAATCTTCGGCACCGAGTTAGTATAATTCGTCGTGTATTTTTATTTGCGTAATCCCGGTGTAGTGTATGAGAACAAACAACAAAATAGAGAAATATTTTGTCGTGTTCAGGTTAACATTAGATTCATACTCTTAAAAAGGGTCTTCTTAGCAAGATTTAAATGTTGAGCAATACTACAAAATATACACACGTGAGAAATCTAAAGGAATTTGTCTCTTTCACCTACCTGCCTAGACAACATCGTTTCAACTGCAGGCGGCGGCACATATGAGAATGTTGACATTCTCAAAGCCAGGATTGGAAAGACAACAAGACAGCCTTCATTAATCTGAAATCAGCACTGCACTCAGCATAAAGCGTGAACAAGATCCGGATTTCCAACACTAATTCAGTCAAGTTAGTGCTTCTATGCGATGGTTGAGAGACTTGGCGCGTCACGAAAAGCATTTCCAACAAACTACAGACATACACGAACAACTACCGCCTACGCGAATAAGCGATACTGACACTGAAGATCATTTAGGTGTCCGGGAAGAATAAGCAGCAAGGAACTCTCTGTGACCTGTCGATGAAACAACCAAGAATCTATCACTCAACAGATATGCAGAAGACAGTGGGGGGGGGATGAATTGGATTGGACATACACTGAGAAGACGGATTGGGGACATGACGCTCCAGGCCAGGCCCTCGAGTGAAGCCATAATGAGGAACGACGAGTTGGGCGTCCAAGGCGAGTGTGACATTGAGGAGGAGATGATGTGAAGAAGAAATGAAAGCTTGTGGTGAGTGGTGGAGCCAGGTTGAAAAGATTGCAGAGAAGAGAGTGAAATGGTGCCGTGCTACTGAAGCCTTATGTTCCACTAGGAACCCAAGAGACAAGTAATAATAAAATAAATATCACACTAGAATTACACAAGTAAAAATACAATTTATAAAATAAACTGTTTTGGATTCATAATCAAAAAATACTTAGGTCATTTCTTCTCATTACTAGTTCACTTAGAGTTAGTTGCAGATGGTTTAAAAACTCTGCCTATCCAAACTGAATTTGTTTGAATACGTGAATGATGAGTTCTGCTACAAAGAAAATATGCACTGCTCACTTAAATGTAGATAAGACGTTATACTGGGTGATGATTGAAGATGAAATGAAAATTTGGTCGACAGGGGGATTCGAACCAGCGACCATTTGAGCTTCCGGCTCGGTACTCTACCAACTGATCTGTGAGACTCGACTGCTAATAGTTTTTTTTTATCCATGTAGGTTATTTTAATCATCATTGGAGAGTTAAAAAATCTTAATGTTCTAAAATTCGATTTTCTTTCTAGTACTTATCAACTCTTCAAAATTTCTTCCCCTTTTTTTTGATCTAGGAAGCTCATGTCACTGTTGAACTCAAATGCACTAATGACCTTTTTCTTTATAATTTTGTCTCCTCAATTCTGCTTGATTACATTTGTTTATGAATGATTTCTTTATCCTTTATGAAACAGTAGTTCCCACTTTTTTTGTGTGAATGAGAATCCTCTTTCATGCATGCCTGCATGCATTGATGCTTGTATGGTTTGTATATAGCAACCATATAACTATATACCTGCATACAGTGAGAGAGATAGAATGAAAGTAGAAACACTAAAGTGTTATTTTGTAATTTTTTTTCATCGATTCAAGCAAAATAGTAGAATTGGAAGAAGAACTACGCGTTGTTGGTAATAATATGAAAGCTCTTGAAATCTCTGAACAAGAGGTAATTAGAAGAAATATTTTCACTTTAGACTGAAATTACTTCTGCTTTACTGTTTTCATCCTGTTTAACTTACTAGTTGAACTGGTACCCACCACATGTACTGGTAAAACTCCAATTCCATAACCTTAGCATTAAATTATATTTAGTGTATGGGTGTAACCTTGAAGTTGACTTCGTCTTCCACCTTCATACAAAGTAGCCAGTTATTAGGTTTTCAATTTGGGGGTTTATAGGGACCTATTTATTGATCACAGATTAGTATTCACCGTGGACTGACATCGGTTGGAGTAACATTGGAAACCTGGGAGCACTGGATAGCTGTTTCGTCTTAGAATGAGACTCCTCAGCAGTGGGTACTCATGAACCCACCAGGGATCGAACTCAGGACCTTCAGGTCCCATGGCCAGTACGTTACCATTTAGCCACTGGGTTGGAATTCAACGGCCAATAATTCTTGCTTCGGTCAGTTCTCAGTCTTTAGATCATAGGTGAAAACGCACCTTGTCTACTGTATAACTATTTGTTGATATGCTTGTAATCCTTCGTTGCTTTACTGGATCGAATTGTTCGACTTCTATTGGCATATGGGCCCCTATGCATATGCCTTGATATTGCCTTACTATGTATTATGATAATTCACTTGGTTGTGGCTAGCAGAGGAATCCAGGGCACGCGTTTCGTCTTATTTGGGGTTTGTCGGCTGGATGTATCTGCACCCCCGTAGTGGGTGGTGTTGTCCCCACTGAAGCTCGAGCCTCGTACTCATCGCTTCAAACGCCAAAGCGTTATCCACTCGGCCACTGAGGCACGATAACCACCTCTCGTACAACGAGTATTACTTGTAACTATTTGTGGATATGATTGTAATTCTCCGTTGTTTTACTGGATTGAAATGTTCGATTGGCATATGAGCTCCTATGCTGATGCCTGAATGTTTATGATGATGATTTCCTTGGTTGTGGCTAGGGAATAACACCTTAGTGTTTGAACCCATGGGTTACAAGGCCTGAGTTTCAGCAGGAACAACATTACCCATTGGAGTGCAGGTAAATCCAGCTGACGACTCCCAAATAGAGCGAAATGCACATCCTGGATTCCTTTGCTAATCACAACCAAGTAAATAATCATCTATTTTTTTTAGGATGAGTATTTTCCGTGACCTGGTAATCAAAACCTTCATGATTAATGAATAAATAATTGACAAGGAGTATCGTAACAGCTTCACAGACTATGTGTCATGAGAAAGTGATTTTTTTTTCATGTTCCAGCGATGAACAACTCTGATTTCTTCATTGAGAGTTTGATAATTGAAGGCGATCGACACAATTTCCTGATTGCTGACCACATAAAAAAAATGGTTCATAGCATTCGATCAGCACTTTAGATTAGAGAAAATGGAATTGGTTGCACTCTAATGACCAATCAGTGTATCATTGAGAGTGGAGAAAACTGTCCATCTTGTCCGATAATCAACCTTCACTGTTTTATACTAGAGAGAAGCATTGAAATACGGAAAAAAATGTTTCACTCATTTAGTAGTTACTACAAAACAGTTTTTGATATTCACTAATAACATCTTCCATATTTGACATTGTTTTGGCAATGGAAGCAAATATAATTAGCAGTTTCTTACATTGTGATTTTATTCCCAACTCCTTATCATTTTAGGCATAGTGATAGAGTTCCAATTGGTGTGATTTTTGTGTTTCAGTTATTGTTAAAAGGTGTCCAGAAAGTTGTGTGTGTGTGGACATCAGTATTCATGAAGTTACATTGTACTTGTTTCGTAATACTAGGAGGCTTAGCATTTGAGAAATTTATCATAGAACAGTATTTAATCTTAACAAACTATTTCATACAACAAATAAGTTTAGTTTGTAAGCGATATAATTCAAATACATAGTTCAGTATTCTGATTGTGACAATTGAAAAACAAAGTTTAGACAAATATGCATTTCTGATTGACTATCTCTTGTTGTCAGACTTTACGATTACATGTAGAACTTATTTCATCGTAGACTATTTAATACTACTACTGTAGTGGGTGCTAATGATAAGAAAGGATATAAGCAGCGTAGTTGGTAGAGCACCGGGCCGGTAACCCGGTGGTCGCTGGTTCGAATCCGGCCGCGGTCCAGATTTTCATCTCACCTTCATTTATCACCCTGTATAAATACTAGTCCGCCCAACTATGGCTATCTCAGATAGTCAAATGATAATCAATATGATGCCTCCCCTCTCTAATTCAGTCAGATTCAGATTGGGATGAGAAGTCCTGACTAGATAGGTAGCCAGCGTGAATACGATCGAGCGATAGTAACGTATGTATTGATTGGTTACGGGAGTGCAACGAATTTCATGTTGTCTAGTCCTCAGTGCAGATCGATCATAGTACCGTATCACGAATTCACATAGTAGTGGGGCGAAACCCGGCCTTACGATTGAAGTGAAATAAAAATGTGGTCAGCAGTCGGACCTTGTGGCTCATTTGGTAGAGCATCGGGTCGGGAACCCGGTGTTCGCTGGTTCGAAGCTGTCCGTGGTCCAGATTTTCATCTCACCTCCAATGGATAAATATCCGGCCCAGAGAGACGTGAGAAACAGTGTAGGCTTATAAAGAGCAAATCGAGAAAGGAGAGGAAGAGGAAATAAAACATTGCACAAATATTTTGATGGAAAGTGTACAACATGTTTCTTTTTCTCTTCGCACGTCCACATTGTCCTTTGCGTTTCTCTGGGCCGAATATTTATCCATCGCTGGTAATCGTCTATGAATTCTGCCAGCCTCCCAACATATACTACTTGTATCTGTTCTTATCAGTAGTAGAGTCAGACCTCAAGTGCGCATGAATTAGAGGATAATAGCGACGATGATAATGAATTTTCTTAGTATCATTCCTGGTGGGGTCATGGATTCTCACTGCTGAGGAATCTCGTAGCAGGATGAAACAGCTCTTCAGTCCTCGCAGGTTTCCAATGCTTTTCTAACTGATGTCACTCCATGATGAATACTAACCTGAAATCAAATTTGCCGGAGTTGGTATTCATATAATTTACGTACTCGGTCGTACCCTATATTGCGTTAAACATATTGGTATTAAATGTCCATGTGTGAAAGATACCCATTAGGAACTGAAGGAAGAACAATGTGGAGTCTCTTTTTAAGTGACTCTTCGCTAAATTACTGGTTCGTTCCTCTTTCAAATGTCTATGTTGAATAGTTTCTATATGTAATTGTAAAGCCTGACAAGAGATAATCGAGAACACATATTTGCTTAAACTATCCCTACTGTGAATCAAGTAACTGGAAAAATAATGTCTTCATTTCAACAAAAGATATGAATTAGATGATGTAAATATCAGACGACAGTTGGTTCAAAGATCACCGGGTAAAGAGTTAGTCTTTGATAATAAGTTAAGCGTACCGTGATGTGAATAAGCGAAATAGATTGTATGAAACGTTTAACAGTAAATAATGCTGTCGTTGTTTTGAGTTCTTCGCTAATGCTGTTATTGCTTAAGTATTTAAAAAAATGTAATTCAAATTACATGAGATCAGTTAAATTAGGTAGTCTCGTTAAATTCCTACGATTCTCCTTTTATTGTTAATACTCGTTCACTGACCAATTTATTTATCACATAAAAAATATTTTATTTCTCAACATTGACTCATTTAGTCAGCTCAACGTGAAGAAAGCTATGAAGAGACAATCCGAGATTTAACAGAACGATTGAAGGCTGTAAGCCTTTTATGTGTGCTGTTGGAGGATTTTGATAAATTTTTCTCTAGTTTGGCATGTGTTTCTAAGTTTGTTTTTGTCTTTCATTTGCCTGTGCATATACGATTGCACTCGCGTGTACATAAACAATTCATACTCTGCATGTATGTGTATGTTTGTCAGATTTAAGAATGAAACTTTCGATTTAAGGTTGTGCATTCTACCACTATGATGACCTTGATATTTATACTACCTGACCTTTCACTAACTAACTTCCTCTTCCTATTGGTTTATTTAAAGTGTATTTGTCATTTTTATATAAGTACACTATTTCACATCAACACGTATATACACATACACTATAGTCAAAATACACTGAAGTGTAAACATCTGGTCTATAGGATCGCAGTGAATCTCATTTTAACACGAATATTAACCTGCATTAAGTAAAATACATTCAGCGAAAATTGATTGACTCATCCATTATAAATAAAATTAATCAGTATTACACTTTTTAAAAATAAAAATAACCATACTGATGAGCTCATTCGCTATTTTTTTTATATATTTTCTTCACAATATGGGACTTGTTTTAATTGCATGTACTTGAATGAAATCTCGATATGACCAATGTGCTGCTGCATGCTTTTAGTCGGCTGAAATTGAAAAAGATTTGGAAGAACATTTAAGTGTTTTAACGCATCATGTTAAGGAAGTAAGTTGGCGCTGTTTTTTTTCCCGTTTTGTTTTAAAAATCATAACTACAATCTTTTATTATCATTTTAACTATCTGAGATAGCTATGGTTCGGTAGACATGTGTTATTGATACACTGGGTAATGATTGAAGGTGAAATGAAAATTTGGACCCCGGCAGGATTCGAACCAGCGACCACCGGTTTAAGCATCGAACCGGAAGCCCGATGGTTTGAATCTGGTTGCTGTTCACATTTTCATTTCACCTTTAATCATTACTCAGTGACAATCGTTTATCCCAATGATGGTTTATGAAAGGTTTGAACTGATTGCTTTATGGTAATACTCTGATGCACGCAGTTACTGGTTCTTGTCGACTGAGAAAACTGTAGTAAATACCGGTAAGGTAGTGACTCAACTACTCTGTGTTGTAGTCTTTGTTGAATGCTTAGATGTAATGAACTTGAAGCTTTGATTATAGGTTTTAGTCGTGTTAGTAACCATAAGACAGGTATGTTTACAAATTTGAAAAGGCCTGTTATCTACCTTGTTATGTCTAAGGTCTTTTTCGATGCAGTCAATCATAATCAGCTAGATTGTGACTGTCTGCAAATGCCCGAACCATTTACGTATATTTAATAACTTGATACGGGATAACCGAAGTAACAAATTGATTTTCAGTAGTTAACAATGCAAGTTTTAATACTAGCAGAACCAAACCCTCTAGCTGTTGATATCAGATGCTAACAAACATCAAAACTATGCCAATCGTTCCTTTCTATCTATTAGAAACTACAGAACATTCACCGATTTAAATATAGATTAGTAATTAACCCAGCCAAGATCCGAAAAGCAAGACACACCCCATTAATTTGAAATCAGTATAGAGATCTACTCCACTCAGCATAAAGCGTGAACAAGATCCGGATTTCCAACACTAATTCAGTCAAGTTAGTGCTTCTATGCGATGGTTGAGAGACTTGTTGCGTCACGAAAAGCATTTCCAACAAACTACAGACATACACGAACAACTACCGCCTACGCGAATAAGCGATACTGACACTGAAGATCATTTAGGTGTCCGGGAAGAATAAGCAGCAAGGAACTCTCTGTGACCTGTCGATGAAGCAACCAAGAATCTATCACTCAACAGATATGCAGAAGACAGTGGGGGGGATGAATTGGATTGGACATACACTGAGAAGACGGATTGGGGACATGACGCGCAGGCCAGGCCAGGCCAGACCCTCGAGTGAAGGCAGAATGAGAAACGACTAGCTGGGCGTCCAAGGCGAGTGTGACATTGAGGAGGAGATGGTATGAAGAAGAAATGAAAGCTTGTGGTGAGTGGTGGAGCCAGGTTGAAAAGACTGTGCTACTGAAGCCTTATGTTCCCCTAGGAACTCAAAGGATAAAAATAAGCAATTAACTCATCCATATACTCGATAATTATTGATTATTTTTCGATGGGTAGGTGTTACTGAATTTTTCAAAGCCAACAGTGTCTGTGTGTGTGTATGTCAGTACTTGGTGATACTGCGCCAAGCAGTGTTGGAAATGAGGCTTACCACCATTCTGTTTATATGGAGTTTAGAGAAAGTGAATAAACTGGCTAACTACAGACAAAGTATTAGAGTCTATAACACATTGCCTCTTCTACAGCTTTTAGATTGTATCCGTCGTCAAGATGAAGTGATGAGTTTCCAGCTAGTAATAAAACCGAACGAATCTATTTTGAAAGATCTTTTCCGTATAAAATATTAACTGATACGCTGGAAAGCGTAATTAGAAATAATGAAACATTTAAGGTGAACTGATACATGACTGGACTCATTTTTACTGTATGCCTAGGTAAATGAATACAACTAAATTGATTAGAATATTGGTATCCAGGACATTCTATCATCCATGCAAATGAGTTGTAAGCAGAATAAATCAGTCACTGGTATTTGAAGACCGTTGTTAAGCTTATTTCTAAAGCCAGCCTAATTCATAATAGAGAATACTCTTAATAGCTGGAAACATAATATTTAATTACTTATCATTTTGACTATCTCAGATAGCCGTGGTTTAGCCGGCATGTATTAATATTGTGTGATAACTAATATGATGCTCCACCTCTCTAATTCAGTCAGATTCAGATTGGAATGAGAAGTCCTGACTAGATAGGTAGCCAGTGTGAATATGATCGAGCGATAGTAACGTGTCACGAATTCACATAGTAGTAGGGCAAAACTCCGCCTTATGATTGAAGTGAAATAAAAATGTGGTCAGCAGTCGGACCTTATAGAACATTGAACCGGAAACCTGGTGATCGCTGGCTCGAATCTTCTCTTCTCCTTCAATCATCATTCAGGATCAATTCAATTACTTGCATAATCAATCTTAAGAAAGGATATTGATCATGTAATTAGTCAACTTTTAATTACCTTTTGGATTCCATTGTCATAACCAACCAGACTTTTAATTAGTCATACTGTTAGTTAAATCTGATCAAGCATCAACAGTGTAGTATAAGTGCATTCAAGTAGATAAATTTAATCATTTTATCGATCAGGTTTTTAAAATATCACTAATTGTAAACCGGTTAACCAATTGAATCCGGTTTATATTTCCTTTTTATTTTATTACACTTTAATTTCGTTGGTGAAAATCGTATTATTTATGCATACATTGTGTGCTACATCAGTGAGTTTATTGCTGTTTATGTTGGGGATATACCTCATTGGTTTAGGGAAATGACTACCAACCAATGAGGCACGGATTCGAACCCTGCTCCACTTATTAACATTTAAGCAGTCAGGTAGTATCAATATGCCTTCCCATAGTAAGTGCGGCTCATTGTCTTTCTACACAGATGTACACAAGGTAGCTGAGTAGGTTTTTAAATATTTCTAATTGTTGGAGTCACACAAATGCAAATTGCTGCTCCAGGATTGATCTTCAACGGTGCCCCACCGCGGCTAACAATAGACAGTGTAATGGTGATTGTGTTGACCACTTCACTTACCTGGGAAGAAGGATCAGCCCTGATGGCTCAGTGGCCGGTGAAATCTCTGCACGGATACAAAAGGCTCGGTTGGCTTTCGCCAACTTACGCCACCTGTGGCGCCGCCGTGATATCCGATTGCCTATTAAGGATCGTGTATACTGCACAGCAGTCTGGTCTGTTCTACTGTATAGCTGTGAAACATGGCCATTGAAGGTGGAAGACATGAGAAGGCTTGAAGTGTTTGACCACAGTTGCCTTCGTAGTATAGGCCGTATTCCGTGGTGTCACCATGTGAGTAATGCAGAAGTCAGGAGTAGAGTTTTGGGGAGAAGAGGTAAGTCGGTTGACGAGGTTATGAACCTTCACCGACTGAGATGGTTGGGACACGTGTTACGTATGCTTAGTTGCCGTCTGCCTCGTCACACAATGTTGGCTGAAGTAGATTCAGGCTGGAAAAAGGCTCTTGGCTCTGGGCCAGACTAAAACATGGCACCAATGCATGAAGTCTTTGACTGTTGGTTTGAGCCATGTGGGGTGATGCAGACTATGTGGTTGGGGTCCGTGGGACAAGAGGAACCAGTGGCTGGAGACTGTAGGTGATATGGATCAGAACCGTTGTCAGTGGAGAAGATGCATACATACATTATCCTCATCTTAACGACGCTATACCGAATTTCACCATTTTCTCATTCTTCGTTTCTCTGTTTTCGTACTTAATGTTTCTTTTGACTCCATTCTCTTATCTTCATCTTGCGCCTCACTGCCTTTTTGACTTGATGTACTGATATGAGGTGTGGCAACTCGAACCGTTACTCAGCAATGCCTGGTCCTGTGTTGATCTGGATGGATGAATTGTTGGAGTTGGTGCATATGTGGTGCCGGCTCACAAGATTATAAAAGAATCAATCCATTCTCATTGATGAATGTAAGACTAAATTCCTTTCCAAAGTGGAATTTGTTGTATAATTATGAGATCAGTACTTCAGTCTGTTTTCGTGTGAAAATTATGTACACAGACTAGTGAGAGTATAAGCCTCATGTTTCACTACTCTTGGTTAAGAGCATTTCTATGGTGTACAACAATGACCAGTCAGTTATGGCTCATTGGTCTATGTAATCGTTTTCACACGAAACGATCAGGAATTCGAAGCTTACTTTATATAACTTCCATTTGTGCAGCCAATTACTATTACTAACCTTCTCATAAGAAATATAACTCAATCTGTTGCATATTTTGTATTGGAATTCAACGTGTACATTTCATCCTGTACTCTGAATTGAATGACTATGTTTCTGCTAACACTCGGAATCATTAACAACAATCAGTTCATACTTGTAAAGGTGTCATTTACTAGGATAAGCATCATCATCAATATCAATATAGGACCAGGCATTACTGAGTAACGGTCCGATTTGCCACAGTTCCTGTCAGTACATCAAGTAAAAAGGCAGTGAGGTGCAAGATGAAGATAAGAAAATTAAGTCAAAAGAAATAAAGTACTAAAAGAGAGAAAGGAAGAATGAGGGAACAAGTGTTCCACCACCATAGCTCGTTTGGTTATTGTGATATGCAAGCCTGACCACCACGTCAAGGTAGCAGCTATCGGTCGGGCATATTTTGCATTGTCGTAATACAATTTGAGAAGTATCATTCGTGGTCTTCAACCGATGTTCTATTCACTTCTTGAAGAACTGAATTTATAAGTCTTATAAGACTTTCAAGCGATCACTTCCTTTTTGCTCAATCAAAACAACAAACTTTCTACTCAGTCATCCAATTTATTGTCTTTTCTCTCGTCTTTATTTCTACATGTAAACTACATTGTCTGTTTGTCAATTTCAGATTCATCCTTTATTATATATATATATATATATATATATATATATATATATATATATATATATATATATATATATATATATATATATATTGTTCCACTCAACGATTCGTCACTGACTACAATTCTAGTTTATCCACATTGTCTTCACTCGTTGAATAGTTTCTTCCACAAATCTACGATATGTGATACAAACATTCCGACACGCATAAGTGAAAAACTTGGGCACTGTGGTAGAATGTAGTTCCATATTAGATTTGTTTATTTGATATAAAGCGCACAGTGATACAGTATTATTTAATAATACTGTATCACTGTGCGCTTTATATCAAATAAACAAATCTAATATGGAATTCCGACACGCAGCCCACCACTTCAAAGTTTGGAAGTTCATGGAAGTCGGATAACAGATGGGTTTGGCTAGGACTCCGGAAAACCGTGCTACTGATGTATATTGTGTCCTAGAGACCTTCGCACAAAATTGGATGCTTTATCCATATGTTGGCTCAAAAAGCGTATTCACATTGCTTTTATCCAGGTTCCCCGTGATGTCAGCAGCTGACTTTGCTAATTTTGGTGTCGCACTAGGCGCCAGAACCAAAGTTGTACTATTCGTTAGTTGTCTGTGTGCCGCCAGGCTAGAAAATTTATTTAGATTGAGGAGTAACTGGTAAGGAAAACAATGTTTCTTCATCGTATCCGCCTATGTTTTGAGTGACTGCAGTCTGGATGCAGTTAAAAGTGAATTACATCATCAACTGAGTGACCTCTCCCATGTACGCTTGATAGATATCATAGTGTTAAACGGGCACTTGAATGCACATGTCAGATGTCTGGGTCCTGAGAAGGGTCATTTAGGTACTCAATGGAAACGTCTTCTACAACTTTACAGAGATTACAACCTGTTCCTAGCCAGCACCAACATCCGACACAGCCATCTTAGTTGTACTACCTGGGGTCCTCTCTGCCACACAAGCCTGGACTCAAATAAATCATATTTCCACCAGCTACTGATGGCTTAGATGTCTTCAAAACCCCCACACCTATTGTACCTGCATGAACTCTGATCACGTTTTATAATGTATGAGGTTCATTTTTTTATTCTGAAATAGGTTGAGACGGCTGGACTGGTCACACTTCCAGCATTACAACTAAATGCCAAACCGAGCTGCATTTGAGGCCAGCTATCGAACCTTCAGAAAGTATAGATAAGCACTGGCTGCACTTACAAGATACTATGCAAACCGCAAGTAAAGCTGCTTGTGACTTTGAAGAATATGCCACTAATAAACATTGGGTTTCTGTGAAGCAGATGGTGCACCAACTATCAGTTTTCACGGATCCCTTGAATGCTGAGCCCCTCGAAATGCAGTTTAGCTGTCCCTACTGCTTCAGTAGTACTGACCTCAATATTTTTTACTCCGTGGTTGGTTAACACTAACCAACCTAAGGAAGCGGAGGTCCGTAAGGGACTTGAATTAATAAATCGCCATCAGGCACTCAACCTATTCAAACTACTCTGGCCTTTTTCAGGAAAGTTGATGGGACTGTAGTCGCGAAACTGACTACATTTTTTGGAAAGGTATGGTAGACCAGAATGATTCCATTGTTATACCTATCTTTCTAAAGGTTCTACATAATAATGTATGTTATCATCATCGGAGTTTCAGTCTGCTACCATTAGCGTCTGTGTTTGCTTCTATCATGCTTCTCAGGCTGTACAAGACTTGTCATAAACTGTCCATAATTAGCAGGCAGGATTTTGCTCAGGCTCTGGGTGCATTAATTACGTGTTCATCCTCTACCAGATAGTCGAGCACTGCTACACGTATTACAGGCCATCGATCTTCGTGTTTTTCTATGTTAGGGCTGTATTCAGTTTGTTGGATAGGGCTGCACTCCGCAAGTCTTTGTTAGAGAGGTATGTCCCTGGCAAGTTTGTTGACATCCTTAAAGTCCCATACTTCAACGCTTCAGGATGCGTGAAGACTTGCACCCACCTCTCTCTATTGTTCTCAATCAGTTGTAGGCCTAATCAGGGCTCGGCCTTGAGTATGTGGACGGTATCGTTTTATTGTGTGACAACACAGTTTACTTGAATCGCACTCAGACAGTTGGCGCTCACTGTCCGTAAGTACTATATATGCTTACCACCGTTGAAGTTCAAACTGCTTCTACTAGACAAGAATTTGTGTGTACCTGCAATCACTCTTGGTAGTGAATTGCTGAAAGTTGTCGAAAGGTTTGTGTACCTGGACAACTGTGTAAGTTCTTGTGCAGGTGTGACTGATACATTCCCAACCGTTTATCGAAAGGCAGGGTGTCACGTGATAATCTGGGCGACCTTTGGTGCCTTATAATATTAAACTTGCTGTAGAAGGTCATTTACACAATACATTAATGCGGGAATTCGCTCTACGCCTGCAAAACCTGACATCTCCAAGCTGAGGACATCCGATGACTCTGTGTTCGATCACTGTTGTTTCTGCAGGATTACTCGCACCCAGTCGAAATACCGTCTGAATAATTTTAAGATAAAATCGCGTGTACTTATGTGTGGTGGAGATCATCATTCATTGAATACAGTCTTCTTGAAACACTGGCTGACATATGTGTCACGCATATCTTCTCAGCAGCTTACACAACGCCTACTGTTCGCGTACCGTGGGACTGGTTGGAGAAAGCGAAGAAGTGGCCAGCATATGACGTGGTCCGTGTTAAGTTAGCTTCTGTAGGTGTGTCGCGACTCCCTAGATAGTATGGGAGAGATACAATGACTATATTTTCATCGGAGTATTCGTAAACTTTTTAATTATGGTGCAACCATCTCATCTAGTATAAATTCTCAGCTCCATTGACTGAGTTAGTTTCCATATCTGAAGCTGTATTTCCAATATTAACGTCACCCATCCAGTAAGTCTGTCATAAGCAGGCAGTGCTTGGAAGTTCCGTAGCATTGAGAATTTGAAACCGCTTCACACTTCCATCATAAACTACAACAGACTGCAGTGGTATGGAGTGTATTCGTTCTTTGATAGACAGGTAGGTAGTCAGTTATCTCATCATCATCAAAGATACTGCAGATTGATAAGTTTACTGGTTGACTATTTCAATTTATCAAATAACTTTGCACGATTAAAAAGTTAATTGTCCATCATTCTGCATGTTCCCTTTTTCTCAATGAATGCGCAACCTGCATGCAGTTGAGTCAACCGTAACTATATGTTTGACAGTTTACAGTTCATTGAGCAATGGAATGCAAAATTTACTCAGTTTACTGTCAGAGAGTTTCTATTTGTATCAACTTTAAAATTGATTTTATCTAATCTACTCTACTACTACTACTCCATAGGCTGAACAACGAGCTGCTGAAGCTGAACGTCAAGTGTCTAAATTACAAAATGAGGTTGATCATTTGGAAGGTGCGAGATTGTTAATGCATAGTGTTATTATATTATATACTCGATTGATATAATGAGCATATGCATACGTATGCAGCATAGGCTTGTGTATTGAAACGCTTCTATGTAAAGCATCTTGACTTTAGATATTTCTAACTAAAAGGAAGATTGCCTTCATATTGATTTTGTGCATTTTGTTAATTGCTTGTTTTGCATCCCATCCCCCACTGTTCTTTGTGAAAAAAATTACACTTAATACAGGCTGAATCTCGAGCTGATGCTGCTGAAGCAGAAGTCAACAGGCGTATTATGGATATTAAAAAGGTTAAAGGTTAGTAATGTGTTGTGTTTTGTATACTGATTATTACTTCTTTTTTTAACTGATTTATGTTCTTTAACTTTGTGAAGGTATGTCTTGTTCAACTGAGAGTAGTCATTCCCGTATGAACTTCAATTCAACCCTTTTACCCTAGTTGTACACACAAATGGCGAATCCTAGATCAATTATCAGCGTTTTCGTCAAATTTAAGGATTATACAACTTGATTTTGCCTTCGGATATAGTTATTCTCTTCATATTTCAGTGGATCGCTGTTAGCAAGTGATCTTGGTTGTATTAGTGTAACAGATAACAGTAGAATGCAGGATGTACGTTTCATGTTATCTTTATACTGATTAGCTGTGGATCTATTTGCTCTACAATGACTACTTAAGTACCATCTGAGACGCGTACCTAACACTAATCTTTTCAAATCCCGTAGTGTTATCCACAAGTTAACCGAATCTGATGACCATCCTTCTCTTAATGGTTATCAGTTCTTCATTAGTGTTTGTTGATCTCTTCATTTGGACTCTCTCCCACTTGAGTGATATTTCATTATTGTGTTATACTAAGAATTTTGAAAAAGTATAAAATGTATCTACTAAGTAGTATGCCATTGGAAGTTTCACGATTGATTTCTCTCACCTTCCAGCTATCAAGTTTATACTTACACGATCAAAACCAGTAGTAGATACCTACAGGTCACTAGTCAAATTTCTTGTTTATTTATGTTAGATATTTAAAGAGGAGTAACAGCATGCTTCTGGATGTAGGGTTCACACTGCCTGCGACAACAAAGTGTGTAGAAAACATTATTTGGAGCTATGTACCAATGGTGTGCCTGAACTTGTTTCACTCAGCGTCGAAAATAGGGGTGTAAATGTTAAAGTCTACAGATTTTGTTTTCAGTAGACTAATTATCTAGCAAACATATGGCATGATACACCTCTAAACTGATAAAGGAATCGAAAGCAAGATATTCTGCAAAGAGGACTCTTTCCAACGAATTTATCCTCAAGCTATACATTAGTATATATATACAAATATGATATTTAAAAACTGCAATCCATGAGAAAGATTTAACTTCAATAATGGGAGACTGAAATAACAATAATGGTGGTTATAATCATAATAATAATATTGCTAGTGGATGACAAAGGTTGAATGATTACAAAAGGGGTAACATAAGATTTTTTAAATCGTTTATAAGGTGCATATAGATTAAAAAAGGGGTGAAAATGTGGTAGAGTTAGTAAACAATCAAAGGACTAGGTAATGTGAATAAGACAAGTGAATTGGAATAAATTAAAACTGTTTTGTTAAAAGTTGCAATTATTAGGAAGATCAAATAAAATAACACCGTAAACTATTAAATGTAAAAACGAAAATGATAATAACGATATAAAAGTACATGGATTAACCTGATAAAAGAGGATGTTAAAAAAAAACAAGAAAGGGACGAAGCACACCAAGACCTAAATAAGTCAATCCCAAGGTAGAGACAAAGATTGTACATACTTTAGTTCATGGATAGCCAAGGCCTCTGCAGTTTTAAAAGTTGAACACATAGGGAACATGAGATGTTGCAGTGAATTCGATAGACAACCTTAAAATCAAATGAGCTACAAGATACGAATACTGACCAGGTTTTTATATGACTTTAATCAGCAAGGGTTTTGCTCGACTGCCATGTAAATTCGTGATACGTTACTGCCGCTTGATCGTATTCACAATGGTTGTCTAGTCAGGACTTCTCATCCCAATCCAAATCTAACTAAATCAGAGAGGGGAAGCATCATATTGTTTATCATTTGACTGTCGAAGATAGCTGTAGTTTCGCAGACTATTGATACTGGGTAATGACTGAAGGTGAAATGAAAATCTGAACCTCGACTGGATTCGAACCAGCGACCACTGGGTTTTTGGCTCTATGGTCTACCAACTGAGCTATGAGATGAGAAGTCCTGACTATGCAGCCAGTGTGAATACGATGAAGCCGTAGTAACGTGTCACGAATTCACATAGTAGTAGGGCAAAACTCCGCCTTATGAGTGAAGTGAAATAAAAATATGGTCAGCAATCGGACCTCGTCGTTCAGAGCATGGAGCCGGAAACCGGTAGTCATTGATTGGAATCCAGCGGCAGTTCAAATTTTCATTTCATCTTCAATCATCACCTAGTATGAGATCTAGGCTGCCAAACCACGGCTATTTCAGAAAGTCAAAATAATAGCCATAAAATCATTGTTTGAGTCAGTTGAATGGTTGGAATCGATTAATCGTTCAAAGATGGAACTTCTGATGCATTTCCTTTCACCCTGAAAAAGCCAGACCAGAATATGCTCTCGTATGTGTGTTGACAGCAATCTCTGAATACGGCCAATGTATCTTGCTCCACAGGAGCAGGTGATTTGGTAGATATACATGAATGTGGCCCATCGAGGGATATTGTCTTTTACACAAAGGGATAAACAATTTACGACTGGTAAAGATTAAATGAAGTTTGGCCGGAAAAAATGTCTTACTAATTTATCTGGAAAGACAATTTTTTGGGATATTTGACTCTGCATCATCTTTAAGTTGCAGATTCATGAACAAAGTCTTTTTGAAAACTTAGTTGATGACTGGTTTCACATGCTTTTCTCGCATATTCTTATGAATAAATCGGTTAGGATAGCCGTTTTCTGCAAGCGTCCTTCTTAGAAAGTCAACTTCAACTTGGACATAGTCTGTGCTACAAATATTACGTATGAATGAGGTTTCTTTTCCTCATAAATCGTCACTCAGCTGTAGGAATTAGTAAGCTATCCGTTCCACATGGGTTTCCTTGTAGATGGAACTTTTCAGCGTTTCATTGCTACATCTCGTAATCACCACGTCAAGGAAAAACAGAGTTGATTCCAATTCCCTCTCAATAGTGAATTCCACCTCATAAACGATTTAAAAATCTTATGTAACCCTCTTTGTTATCACTCAACCTTGTGTCATCAACTAAGCATTATTATAACCACAATTATTGTTATTTTAACCTCTTATTACTTAAGTTAAATCTCCCTCATGGATTACGGTCTTCAAATATCATATATATATATATATATATATATATATATATATGAATGTATAGCTTGAGGATAAATTCGTTGGAAAGAGTCCTCTTCGCTGAACATCTTGTTTTTGATGTTACAATAGAAATTATGATTGTAGTGATAAGAAAGAGAATGGTTGGAAGAAATGATTACCACGATGTATGAAATTAAACTCAATTTGTTTATTTATTCAGTTATTTATCTTTAAAACTGCTTTTTTTTTGTTATTTTGGTGGACTTAAAACAACTTGACCTTCAGTAGTTTTACTGCGGGGTCGCATATTATATAGCTATGTGTACTGTGACAGTGAAATACACAATATACTTAAAAAGCTTATTTACCAAGTAAAAATCGATTGTTAGTAGCTGTTAAAACGGAGCGACTACTCTTGATCAGTTTGCACTATATTATTGGGTAGTTGTTTTACCACCTGAAATTGACAAAAAACTTTCCTAAAAGGTCAGATGTATATGGTGAATTTATCGTTGAAGTGTAATGTATGAATGATGTAGCGGTCTTCATCATTCTGAAATACTCACCCACTTTATCTCAGTATTACTTGTATAGTGATCCTGTAGGTTATTAGTTTGTGTATACAGTTGACTTTTAATCAATACACCACTGGTTTGAACTCATTCTTCACCTATTTCAGGTCACACATTTTCATCGAAAGTTTTAACCTACTCTGGATCCAACTTCAACGAAAATGTGTTTTTCACTAGTTTTTATGTGAATAAAATCAATCGAGAAATGATCATTGTGTCGAAATGCATAGATTTATCCCCCAGTTAAGGAAAAAATGTTAATTCAATGAATATAAATGGAAAACATCAAAGAAAGAAGTATTTATACTGGGTGATGATTAAAGGTGAAATGAAAATTTGGACCGTGGCTGGATTCGAAGAAGCGATCATTGGATTTCCAGCCTCATACTCTGCCAACTGAGCGATGAGGTCCGACTACTAACCACATTTTTACTTCACTTCAATCACAAGGTGGGATTTTGCTCTGCTACCATGTGAAGTCGTGACACGTTACTACCGCTTCATCGTATTCACACTGACTGCCTAGTCACGACTTCTCATCGTAATCAAAATCTAGCTGAGTTAGAGAGGTGGAGCATCATATTGATTATCATTTTGACTATATGAGATAGCCATAGTTTGGCAGACTAGATTGAAGTGAAATAAAAATGTGGTCAGCAGTCGAACCTCATAGCTCACTTGGTAGAGGATTGAGCCGGAAACCCAATGGTAGCTGGTTGGAATCCAGGCGCTGTTTAAACTTTCATTTCACCTTCAATCATCACCCAGTATGAGATTTAGTCTGCCAAAACCATGGCTTTCTCAGATAGTCAAAATGGAAACTAAAGAAGTGTATCACTAGGTTTGTTCTGTAAAAGTCAAATTCTATTGCTAAGGTCTCATTATATGAAACATTTTCTAAAGCATTTATTAACTACTAGTATTATTCCTTGTATTGTACCGAATTGATCGGTCCCTATTGGCATATGGGCTTCTATGCGGATGCGTCGATATTACCTGTGTTTTAATTATAGTAATGATATGTAGTGGCTAGCAGTGGAATCCAGGATGCGCATTCCGTACTATTTGGGATCCGTTAGCTGGATGTACATGCCTCCCTGTGAGTAATATTGTTCCCACCTGGAAACACAGATAACATCGAGGCATCCGCATACTAGTCTGTCTGCTAATAGAGACCGATCAATTCGGTATAATACAAGCAATAATACTAGAAACTATACCTGTCGCACAAGATATGGCTATCGTGGTTCAGTGATCTAGTGGAATAACCCTCTGGCATTTGAAGCGATCGGTCCCGAGTTCGAATCCCGGTGGGAACAACACTCACTAGGAGGCAGGTACATCCAGCTGACGAGTCCCAAATAGGGCGAAATGCACATCTTGGGTTCCACTACTAGCCGCTATCCATCATTACCATTTATTATCTACATCATGATATGAAGATTGCATTGACCACATGCTTAAGATAATCATGGCTTCATGTGTGTGTGTGTGTGTGTGTGTGTGTGTGTGTGTGTGTGTGTGTGTAAGGCTTTTCAACCAGCGATTACAAAATGAATTTTCTCATTCACTTTCATATAAAGTCTGAATTGTTTTTTCTCGAGTCAGTTTACATTGTCTCCACCTCTTTTATTATTTATTCAGAACGCATCATTACGGAGCGTAGTATGTATGAAACGCTACGTAAAGAAATGGATACAATGATCAATGAATTCCATTCAATTTAATCCATTCACTTTGTTTGAATGCAAAATATCAACTAGTTATTATTTATTCATTTGTCAGTTAAATACAATTTGCATGTTATTGTATTAATGACATAAATAATTATTAGTCTATCCAATAAATTGGCATCTTCTCTTAGACATAAATAATAATATGCATGTAGTTGGTTTGCTGCTTTCTTTCTTCCATTTTTTCTGCATCCTTTTTTTTATTGCTCACTCGTTGAATTTATTTATATACATACATACATACATGCTTGTTGAATGCTGAATGATAATTAGCTGCATTGTTTGTGCATTTTGCATTTTATATATTATTTTTAGCGAGTGATTTTTTTTGTTTTCTCTTCTCGTTTAACTTTAAGTATGCTAAATAAAAATTAAGTGTTAATGCTTTTTTGTTTAAAATATGGCATCACAATAATTATGATGGGTAAAATTTTTAGCTCAGAATAAAGTTGACTATAGTTTGGTGAACGCCACATGCCAAGTAATCCACAATGGGAAGCTCAGTGATGATGCTTTTGAAGTGAAGACAGGAGTAAAACAAGGCTGCCTACTATCCCCCATAATATTCCTGATTGTGGTGGACTGGATCATGCAGCAAACAGTGGGGAGCGAGAAGAGGGGGATACAATGGCTAGACAGCGGAAAAGAGCCCAGAAGATCTGGATTTCGCCGATGACTTGTGCCTGATGTCACATAAACTTGAAGGTCTACAGGGGAAAACTAACACGTTAACAGAAGAGGCAGCAAAGACCGGACTTCAAGTGAATATAGGGAAGACAGAGGTGATGAAGATACCGCGCCAACAACAACGACAAGCTCCAGTCACCATCAACGGGAGAAACTTAAAGGAAGTAGCCTCTTTCACCTATGTAGGCAGGGAAGCATCGTTTCAACTACGGGTGGTGGCACAGACGAGGACGCCAAAATTAGGATCGGAGAAGCAAGACAGGCGCTCATTAGCCTGAAACCAGTGTTGAGATCTACTGCACTGCACTCAGCATGTGGAACAAGATCCGGATTTTCAACACCAACGTCAAGTCAGTGCTTCTATGTGATGGTCCAGAGACTTGGTGCGTTACGAAAGGGATTTCCAATAAACTACAGACATTCATCAACAACTGCTTACGCTGGCTCGCTACTGAAGATCAGATGGATTGCCAGAATAATAAGAATAAGCAACAAGGAGCTCTTGGAACGAACCAACCAAGAACCTATAACCCAACAAATATGCACTGGAAGGAAGTGGAGATGGATTGGGCATACACTGAGAAGGCTGAGGGAGGACATCACGCGTCAGGCCAGTTGCTCGAGTGGAATCCCCATGGGAAGCGACGAGTTGGACGTCCGAGGGTGACATGGAGGAGATCGTGTGAGGAGGAAATGAGAGCTTGTTGGTGGTCGTGGAGCCAGGTCCGAAAGATTTCAGAGAACAGAGTTCACTGGAGACGTGCTACTGAAGCCCTATGTTCCATTAGGAACCCAAAGGACTAATAATAATAGTTTGGTGAACTCTGAGTTGTAATGATCTCCTAGAGGTCATCTGGTTACTTGTTAGGGATATAAAAAGGATGATTTCTTAGTAAATATGTACACGTCTTTATATATTCCAAGTTGGTATTCATCATGAACTGAGATTAGTTAGAGAAACATTGAAAACCTGAGAGCACTGGACAAGTGTTTCGTCCCATAATAGGACTCAATCGTGAGAACCCAGGGTCTACAGGTTCCGTGACCGGTATGTTACCATTTATTCACTGGATTGGAATCCAATGGTCCATTCTCCCAACTTCTGCTATTTCACTCAATTTCATCCTTGAGTATTTGTCCATACATTCACCAGGTTTACTCCATCAGTTACGACTTCTCATCAAAACTTCAGGAATCGCCTCCCATCAATGAACACTAGGTTAATTCAGTTCGGGGGTTTATTGATTTCGAGTTGATGTTCATCATGGACTGACATCAATTGGCGGAACACTCGAGAATTGGGAGCACTGAAAAGGTGTTTCGTCCTAGTATGAGACTCCTCAGCACTGCGCACTCATGACCCCGGCGAGGATCGAAACGAGGACCTTTTATATTCATGTTCAATTATGAACAAGCGAAGCCATGTAACAGGTGTATTGGTTCCATGAACTTAAAAACAAGCCTAATGTATGAGAAAATCGCTTGAATTTCTTTTTCATTTGGTCTATCTAAAATTAAAGATTCGGTTTCTACAAATATCCTGTTTGCCCGGCACTGTTAGCAAATGAACTTCCTACTCATGGAAATATTGATCTGTGTGGTTAGGAAGATACGATTTATAGTTTAAGAGGGTCCTGAGGAACGCTACCGGATGAGTTTTTAATACACTGATTTTATTAGATGGCTACAACCTGCTCTCGGGGTCCCATAAGTCTTTTAGCTGTAGGAGACCACTTTGAATGCACGACAACTTTTTATTTTTGCAAAAGGTTGAAAAGAATAGGATCATAGTACAATTTAAATGGGTGGGGTATACTTATTTCCATTTTCATTGTCCCTATGGAGCTGAGTGGCTGTTTGCATGCTTCAGTCAATGACACTATGGTGGGACACTTACATGTGCTGATCATCAGTATTTTTATGACTGGTTCACGTATTTTAATCACTTTTTTTGTCTAGATGATCTGTTGGCTGAGAAAGAAAGATACAAAGCTCTCAGTGGTGAACTGGATCAAACCTTTGCTGAACTCACTGGCTACTAATATCAGACATCAGGATATTCGTTATTTTTATCTGCACAGAGACCATAAAGATACTACTATCCCGTTCAAACTAACTTTATTAACAATATGTTTCTTTGAACCCGTGCTCTAGAGAGTGCTAAATAATATGTTATTCATTCTAAGGCATTTCACCTCTTTCAAATATGCTTATGCTGTTTCCTAATATTTCCCCTTTTCCTTACACCTAGGCGTTTATAGCAGCCTAACTGAACAATTCTATAATTTAAAGAATTAATAAAATTCTTTTATCACATTGCCTTTTTGTTGTGTACCGGATACTATTCTGTTACGGTACACTTGTCAAATATACCAAGTGGTCCCCTGCACTAGATACTGCAACTAATTAAGACAGAACGGCTAGCCAATCACCAATGGATTTAAACCAGGTTCCATTTACGGCGGTAATCGTAACTGATATAAGTACAAACTTTTGATGAATCATCTTTGATTTCATTCTTATTGGTCGTTTGGTTCCTCGAAAAAATAAAGAAGCGGTAAATGATAAAAATTTAGAACCAAGTCAAAGCATGTGCGACGGTTTATAAACTGTAGGTGGCCTTAATATTTTCTTGTAGGGTAACTTCGATCAATCGAATCATATTAGCCAATCTGAACCTCTCACATGTGATCACATGACTTCTCAAATGATTGCTTATGAGGAATTTTAGGTTTTCTTGAAGGGTCTGTTAGCTAATACTTCACTCAATAACACTGATTAAATTGTGAATATGAGGATCTAAATAATCCATTTGTCGGTAGATTGATTTATGGCACTGACAATAAAGTTGAATAAATTTAATTTTGCACTAAAAAGTAAGATGCAATGTTACAACAGATAAAAAATACTGTAAAAAAAACGACAAAGGATGAAACACAGAAGAATATTTATTATGACGCTGTACATGACTGATGAAATATTGTAACCTTTCCATTGGAATAATTATTTGCACAATGTATTTCGATAACGCTATTAAAAGACAAAGATTATCTGAAAAATGTGATATATTTGCCCAATACATTTCGAACAATCTGATCACACATTTATTTGTCAAGTCAATTGATATATGAAAATTAAAGGTCAAATATAGTGAATATGAAAAAGTTGTGACACTAGTCTTGGTAATGTAATGACATAAGGATTATCAAGGTAAATTAAGTGAAACAACAAATTGTTTTTGTACGCACATCGGGGGCTTAATTTTACGAATGGCTAACGCTTCGGCAAACTTCATTATGCGCCCCTGATTATTCCTGTGTAATATCTTGAAGGCTGTTTTCCTGCTAACCTTGTGATTCATTTCAATAATATGTTTTGTTGTAGGTGACATTTATCAATGTTTGTGTGTTGAATTGCTTTTCAAGCTATTTGGTGTGTTCACCCACCCGATTATTCCTCCCTATGTATGTGTGCCCTCACATACATGTAAATTGGTAAACACAATGGGATGTGACGTAATCATTTATGCGAGGTTGAGGTTTGTGGCGAAGTAGGTGTTTTGTTGTCTTAATAATAATAAGCTGAGCTGCATAGTATGTTTTACTGATAAAAGATTTTAATCTCTGCTTCAATATAATACTACTCGCTTCCCCTCTGTATGGTACTTTAAGAAATATATTTATCTTGGTGACCGAGAAAACTATAGGCTTCGGGGTCAGCAGTTTTTTATAATGGTTGACAAACTGTAATGGATACCCGTTTTCCATTAGAGTGTCTGTCAGAAATTTATTCTCATCATCCATCGTATCAGATGTACAAATACGTTGGATTCTATTGAGCAAGCATCTTACTAAGCCTCTCTGTTATTTCATTGGACAAAAACTAGGAATTCAAATACTGTCCTGTCCAAGAAGGCTTCCTATATATTGATCGTTTTATAGATCCATCTTCCCTCCGGCACAAGAGTATATCAAGAGATGCAAGTTGATGGTCTTTTTCTTCCTCGTATGTCAGACTAATATCATCTTGTACGGTATTCAGCCTTTTTAACAAACTCTTGGCATCCTCATCTGTGTCACATATTATAAAGATAGCATCCACATACCTTCTATAGAGTGTGACATTGGTGATTCAATCTTGAGCCATTAGTTCAGTATGCGATATACAGACATCAGCTAATAACGGTCCTAATGGACTCCCTATGGCTACACCATCAATTTGCCGAAAGTGTTCACCTTCAGAAGTGAAATGAACCTTATCAGTACATAGTAAAAGCAGCTGTTTCAAATGAACTGAAGGAATAGAGAAAGAAGGATAATTCGAAGATATGCCATGTTCCGTTTCCTCTTCTTCTTCTATCTCGTTTTGCTCTTCACACACCCACGTCTCATGCATTTCTCTGTGTGGAATATCTAACCAACGCTCGTAATTGCCTATGACATCTGCTGACCTCTCAACATACACTACTTATATCCATTCTTATTAGTAGCATCCACTACCATACTAATTGTTGGTTGGTTGCTTTCTTGGGAAATTATTGTATTTCTCCACTCTTAAAAATTGAAGATAACTTATTTCATCGGATTACGTTACCGATTGCTTGCCACAGACTGAATTTATTTCTCATCACTTCTCTCTGTTTTGCCATATGATTGTGGATATTAGAAAGTCAGAGGTATTTGATCGTCATCGTTGCGGCCACTATTTTTACATAGTTTTAGTTAAAAGAGATAAGTTGGGTGGTAAGGTTGTATATCTTAATTGACTTATATATGTGTTACGCATACAACCCCCCCCCCCCCACCATCTACTGTTCGTTGATGAGATACGGTGTCCAAACATGGAGAAGACAAACTATGGATCCATAAAGCCATTAACTTAAACAATATATAGAAATTTAAACTCATTGTTTGAGGATCACAAAACAACTGTAAGGGATAATCGCGGTCCTTAATCACCTGGCTCAGAATATATCGTAGATGTATCCGTACCTTATCGTAAGCTTTGTGTTACGTTTTTTTATTTCCTAAGACTTTTAGGTTATGAGTCAGGTGACTGAATAACGGTGAACACTTGAGGTAAATTTAATTTGAGGGTTTTGGGAAATTCATTGAATTGGGTACGCAAATCTACAATCGCGTGGGGAGAAACAGCGGCATCGATTATGCAAAGTTTCGTATAAGAGAACTAAGTTATTTCTTAGACGTTGTTTCCAAAGAGGTTCATTAGACGGGTTACTGAATCTATCTATGTAATCCACCTTACCACCGCTAATCAATGATCGTCTGGTGAAACCTCTTTGGACGTATTCAGCTAGTGATTTACCAATACTTTTCTTACCAGGAAAGATGAATTAGGTATATTCCAACGTCTGTCTGACACAAACCTTAAAAAGAGCAAGTTTGTCCCCTTTTTTATGAAATCTCTTCATAAGAAAACCTGATAATCTCCTAGCTTTAGAGACGATAGCTGAAACTTGCTCAGTGAAGTTAAGTTTACCAGAATACTGGACGCTCAGATCGAAAACCTCATTGAGCGCTTGAATTTCATAATCCTTTAAGCGCAGCGTGATGCCTGGATAATTTTTTTCTGTGGTACAGAATCCCACATTTTTAGTGGTTGAACCCAAGTTACCATTTCTCACTGCAGTCAAGTAGATTATTTAAATCAACCTGAGATGTTGACAGACCTTCAGTAACTCTACCGCACTGCAAACCGTAAACAGTCTTGAGGTCGTCTGCATAAATAAATGGTTTTCCATGTCTAACCGCTTTACATATGTCACCAATATACATAAGAAAGAGAAGTGGATCAAGTACACTTACTCGTGACACACTGCTTTTAGTTGGTCCAGCGTCTGAAAAGCAATCGTTTAATTTGACTATCTGAGAACGTTCATGAAGAAATGATTCGAACCAGTTATACAAGTGGTTTGGCACACCGAATGACCTAAGCTTCAAAAGCAGTCTCTGATGGGTACTTTGTCGGATCCCTTTTTGATGTCAAAAACCATTACAGCAACAATAAGGCCTTGATCACACCTATGGGTGATGTAGCGTCACACACTTCCCAAGGTCAATAGCCTAGGGTTTGACGACATTCGACATTGATGCTGATCTTGATGGTTTAACTGGACTGGCTAAGCTGAAGGCACCCGGTCAAGCATCCTCGCCATTTGGCACGCTATCGTGTTACGTTGCACTGCTCGTACTGGACTCTCTAGTCAGTTAGTTGGAACGCATCGGTATTTTGGCACAACCATCCAAATATACTATTCCATCCGACTACGCTATCGTGTTCTTCCTTGGTCTCGTACTCGTGGACATATAACAAGTCCGAATAATTAGTGATTGGTCTTTTCGTCTGTCAAGTTCGCACTAGGACGAATCATAAAGTGATTTATTTAAGATAATCTAGTATGCAAGCATCACAAGATCTGGCTTTCAGGAACCCATGCTACGAATCCGACAATAACTTGTTGTCGAATAGTTAATCTATAACACTATCCTTTATAATTTTCTCCATCACTCCGGAAAGCATGGAAGTGAGAATAATTTGACGGTAATTATCTAAGTGTGTAGTTTGCCAGGGTTTATGGGTAGATAGGACATAGATAGTTTTCAAGATGGACGGTGGCATGAACTATTGAGTAACAGCGAAAATAACTTAAGAAGCAAGAGAGAGGTGTCTTCACAACCGTTTTTAAGGACAACTGCAGGTATCCTATCTGGACCGTCTGTAAGAAGGAGTTTTAGAGTGTTAACCACCGCAGAAATATTTTGTGTTGTAAACCTCACATTTTCGATCCTAGAGGAAGGTACTGTTGACCACTGTATCCCAAATGCATCAGTCTCACTTGTTACGGAGGCAGCAAAATGGTTACTGAAGATATCCACAATTTGCGTATGGTCATCGTGTACTTGACCATTACCAACAATACATTCTGTTATGTTGGATTTCTATGACTTCAATCTGGATTTAGGAATCTTTATTATAGATTCTTTGCTGACAAAGGATAGGACTTTTCAGTCATGTGCAACGGCTTCCTGTACACGTAGGATATCAGCAAAAGCACAAATATTAGACATCGTAACTAGTGAAGAGAAGTCATGTAAGCGGGTAGCATGTTTCCGAAGGTGACTTCCAACGGGGGCTAGAATAAACAGCGTTTTTGGGAGCATAGTGTTAGTGCTTTTTTATGGCGCAAAACAATCACAGTTATTACATGATTTGCGATAAAGAGTAGCTGCTTGGGCTTCAGCAGACTCTTTGGCAAGTCTTAGGGAAAACTGAAAGTCTTTCCAGCTAATGTC